TGGGGACCTCCTAAACAGTTCAAGCTAATCAACTGTCTCACTTATCCAGAGGGCCTGGTCCAGTTGGGGGCTCCTCAGCCATTGGTTCACAGTTCATGTGTTTCCGTTAGTTTGCCTCTTTGTCCCTGTGCTTTTTCCAATCGTGGTCTCAATCTCCTGCTCATATAATCCCTTCTCTCTCTAGCCGACTGGACTCCTGGAGCTCTACCTGGGGCTTGGCTGTCTTTTTACTGCCCACATAGTATTGCCTCTTCCAGAATGCCATGAGTGGAATTGTACACTATTCTTTTCAAGTTAGCTTCTTTTACACAGTAAAATGCACTTAAGGTTCCTCTCTGTCTTTATGTGGCTTCTAATAGATCATGTCTCCTCCCTCAGCCTTGAGGTATGGTTGAGAATTCATATTCAAAACTTGTACGTGTGCATATGTTTTACACACATATACATTCTGATAAGACTTAACACATACATCACATTTCGCATTTTATTTTTTGTGGTGAGGACATCCAGGGCTGCTCTGTAAAACACATTCCAAGTCGTCATTTGTTCACCTGGGAACTTCTCAAGCTTCCACCTCCTGCTGTCTGCCAAACATTAGTGTAACATGTTTACCAATCCTGTGACTCTGGTAACCACCCTTCTACGAGTTTGACTTTTTTAGATTCCACATATAAGTGAACTAACTCTATGGCTGGCTGGCTTATTTCATTTAACATGTTCTAAAAGGTAGGCTTTCCCATTTTAAAGGTTGAATGGTGTTACAGTCCCTTCCCATTTGTACCGACCTTCACCTTCCTAACTTTATCCTATTTTGTTCTTTCTGATGCTACTGCAAATTGATTTCCTTTGTGGGTAACTGTTACAGTGTAGAAATGTAACTTGTTTTTGTTTAGACAGGGTCTTCTGGAGCTGGACTGGCGACTTTGAACTCACCACCCTCCTGCTTCCACCTCCAAATTTTAGGATTACAGTCTTACAAAACTAGACCCCATTGGTAAATTGATTTTGAATCTTACTACTTTACTATATTTATTAATCCTGACAGCATTTTGTTGAATCTTTAGGGATTTCTGTATATAAGGTTAAATCATCCTCTGCATCAATGTATAGTCCAGGTTGGCCAACAACTCAAGATCCTTCTTACTCAGCCTTCTAAGTACTCAGATAATGAGTGTTACACTTTTTAGTGTGTATGTATTGAGCATGTGTCCCAGGGATAAAACCCACTTGACTGGGGTATATGATCCCTTTAATGTGAATCCAGCTTGCTAGCATCTCACTTAGTATGGGAAGATGTATTTTGCAAGAAATCTCCATATTATCACAAAATAACTGCCCTCCAGTAATGAGCCTCTGTTAGCCTCCCCAGGATTTGCTTTTACTTTCCTATTTGGTTATTGTAGTAGAATATTTGAAGGTGTGTTACTTCTGCTTATGATGCATTTGTTTCACTCTGTGAAGATGTGTTACTGTGCCTGTGTAAAATACCTGATGGTCTAATAAAGAACTGGCCAACAGCAAGGCAGGGGAAAGGATAGGCTGGGCTGGCAGGTAGAGAGGATAAATAGGAGAAATCTGTGAAGAGGGATTGGAGAGCTAGGAGCCAGAGAAAGAGAGGGACTCCAGGGGCCCACCACCCAGCTACATAGCCACAGAGTAAGAGTAAGATTTACAGAAGTAAGAGAACAGGAAAAGCCCAGAGGCAAAAGGTAGATGGGATGTTAAGGAAAGCTGTTTAGAAACTAAACCTAGCTAAGGCTGGTCATTCATAATTAAGAATAAGCCTGTGTGTGTGATTTATTTGGGAGCTGTGTGGCGAGCCCCCCAAGAAAAGAGCAAAAAAAAAAAACCCAATTACAGGTTATTCTATATGTATACAGGGGTATTTCAGGTTTTAATTTCCAAGACTATCAAGATGTATGCTGAACACTTTTCCATACATGTTACTTGTCATCTACATATATAGTTATCTGTTCAGATCTTTTGCCTTTTTAAAAAGAGAGATCTTTCTCATTGCTTGGTTTTAAGTTTGTTTACTTTGGATTAACAATCCTTTATCAGATGCCCTTTGCAAATCTATTTTCCCACTCTGACTTGACAATGTCTTCTGCAGAAAACATTTTAATTTTCATGAAGTCCATATTGATAGTTGTTTTGTGGGTCATGTCATTTTTGGATTTAAAAAGTCACTTTTGGAAGCCGGGCGGTGGTGGCGCACGCCTTTAATCCCAGCACTTGGGAGGCAGAGCCAGGCGGATCTCTGTGAGTTCGAGGCCAGCCTGGGCTACCAAGTGAGTCCCAGGAAAGGCGCAAAGCTACACAGAGAAACCCTGTCTCGAAAAACCAAAAAAAAAAAAAAAAAAAGTCACTTTTGGACATGTGAGAGGTACTTGCTGCCAGCTCTGATAATCTGAGTTTGATCCTTGGGAACATGGTGGCTCTTCTTGTGGTGATATATTTGTAATCTAAGAAATACAGCTTGCCTGAAGATCAGAGGACAGCTAGTCACAAGAGTTAGCCATAGAGGTCAGGTAGTGGTGACACACACACACATCTTTAATCCTAGCACTTGGGAGGCAGAGGCAGAGATCCGTCTGGATTTCTGTGAGTTCAAGGCCACACTGGGCTACATAAGATTAATCCAGTCTAAAAGAGAAACAGCCAGGCAGTGGTGGCACATACCTTTAATCCCAGCACTTGGGAGTCACATGCCTTTAATCCCAGCACAAGGAAGATTGAGACAGGAAGTGATATGGTTAGGCAGAGAAAGGAATGTAAGGCGGGAGGAGACAGGAATTAGGCCTTTTTGGCTGGACTCAGAGGCATTCAGTCTGAGGATTCGTGGAGACAGGATCTTCTCTTTTTGGCTGAAGAGTCGGTGAGGTGAGAAGTGGCTGTGGCTTGCTCTGCTTCTCTGATATCAGCTTTCACCCCATGTCTGGCTCCAGGTTTTTACTATAAGATCATTTAGGATTCATGCAACACTTATGACCTCCACACATGCATGGTGGACATACATGTGTACGCACACAGAGAAATAAATGTGAAAAGTTATCGTTAACCTAGTGTCTCCACCTCCACAGTGCCAGCATCACAGGTGTGTGCTGTCACGCCCAGCTGTCCTTTCTTTTGTAGATGGATGTCCAGTTATTCCAGCACCATTTGTTGAAGAGACTGCCTCTTTATTGCTTTGCATCTTTTTAAAGGTCAGATGACCACACCTGTGTTGACTCCTGGCCTCTATTTCGTTCCAGTGATCAATTTGCCAACACTGACACCATCATCATGATTACTGTAGCCTTCTTCCCAGGTGGTGAGGTCAGGTTGTAGATGTCCAGAAATAGCCTGCTGGGACTCTTAACTTAGATTGCATCAGCTTTATAGATTAGAAGAACTGACCTGCCATCCAGCACTATACACACATCTCATCTCTCTACTTAGTTCTTTGAGTTCTTTACCAGTATCTTATGATACCCCTATGGACCATCTCCCCGTTAGATTTCCACCTACATATTTCATTTTACAAGATAATGTAATTTAAATGTATAGGTGATATGTTCCAAGACCTTGAGTTCTTGAAACTTCAGATGACACTGGACACTACCCAGATGCTCCTTCACTTAGGACAGCTTAACATACTACTCTAACTTCACAACATTAGACAAAAGGCCCATACAACTATTCCATTTCTCATTTTCACACAGCATTAAATTACACCAGGCATTCAACACTTTATTATAAAACAAGCTTTGTGTTAGGTAATTTTCCCTAACTGAAGGCCAACACAAGCATTCTGAGAAAGAAGGTAGTTTAGGGTGACCTATGATAATCGTTGGTTAAGGGTATTAGAAACATTTGACTTGCACTATTTTCAGCTTGCAATAGTTTTCGGGTCTGTAATCCCATTGTAAGTCAAGGAGCATCCACACACATGCGTTTTACCCCGTTCACACCTAGCTTGGTCTCGTTTATATAATAGGCACAGAATGAAATGAACACCACCACATGGAATCTTGACTGTGTACACCATTTCTTTGTTTTGAAGAGTCAAAGCAAATGCTAATATTTTTACAAGTAGACAGAGAGTAATCTGTCATGCAGAAAGTGAAACAGGAAGTAAAATGGGACTCCCGAATTGCACTTTTAATTTTTATCATGTTGAGGAAGTCTCTCCAACTCCCACTTCCTTAAGATATTTCTTTATCTGTATCTTTTTAAAAAATAATTTATTTAACTTTATTTTATGTGCATTGGTGTGAAGGTGTCAGATCTCCTGGAAATGGAGTTACAGACAGTTGTGAGCTGCCATGTGGGTGCTGGGATTTGAGCCCAGGTCCTCTGGAAGGGCAGCCAGTGCTCTAACCCCTGGGCCATCTCTCCAGCCCCATCTCTATCTTTACTATGTTACTGTGTTACATTTTGTCTCCTGATTGTAGGAGATGTGACTTTGAACTTTTCCTGCTACTTATTCTTTCCTTTCCTTTTAATTTTATATGTATGGGTGCCTTCCTTGTATATATGTTTGTGTACCATGTGCCTGCAATACCTGAGGAGGCCGGCAGACCCCCTGGGACTGGAGTTACAAATAGTTGTGTGTACCAGGCTTTTTCTTTTAAGCCATCAACCAGCTCCCAAATCATGACACGGAGACTTACTAGTTTTGAATGCTTGGCCTAGCTTAGGCTCGTTTCTTGTTAGCTCTTTTAACTTAACCTGTTTCTCTTTATCTACTTATTGCCTTGAGGCTTTTTATTTTCCTTTCCTTCTGTATATCTTGCTTCCACTGGTTCTTGTGTCTGGCTGGTTTCTTGCTCTGGGTGTCTCTCTCTCTTTCTCTGTCATTCTCTTCGTCCTTTCTTCTCTCTCTTCCTCTTGAGCCTATATTTCTCCTCCTATTTATTCTCTCTGTCTGACAGCCCTGACTATCCCTCTCCTGCCTAGCTATTGGCTATTTAGCTTTTTTAAAAATTAAAAAAAAAAATTGAACACAGTGTCTCCAATGCAGTACAAGGCTATTCAGCTTTTTATTAGACCATCAGGTGCCTTAGGCAGGCAAGGTGAAACAAATGCAACACATCTTTACATAATTAAACAAAGGCAGCATAAACAAATGTAACACACCTTTATACAGTTAAATATTCTGCAGCATAAACAAATGTAACACAACTTTACACAGTTAAAGTAATATTCTGCAGCATAAACAAATGTAACACACCTTTACACAGTTAAATATTCTGCAGCATAAACAAATGTAACACAACTTTACACAGTTAAAGTAATATTCTGCAGCATAAACAAATGTAACACACCTTTACACAGTTAAAGTAATAGTCTACAGCATAAACAAATGTAACACATCATTGCCCAGTTAAAATAATATTCCACAAAACAGTTGTGTGCCACTATATGGGTGCTGAGAATTGAACTCCGTCTCCAGAAGAACCTCTGCGCCATCTCTCCAGTTCCTCCTGCTACTCCTTTTTAGAGGCGTTAAGTTTGCTTACACTCAGAGAAAGGAGGCATTATAACCCAAGTTTCTCTCTCAAGTTCGAGGGTACTCTCCTTTTTGGCATGTTTGTCAGTTATTAAAAATATAGACTGAAGCCCGGTGGTGGTGGTGCACACCTTTAATTCCAGCACCCAGGAAGTAGAGGCAGAGGCAGATAGATCTCTGTGAGTTTGAGACCAGCCTACTCTACAAAGTGAGTTCCAGACAGCCAAAGCTGTTATACAGAGAAACTCTGTCTTGAAAAGACAAAACCAAATATACACACAAACTTCCTCCCTCCCCCCGCCCCCACCACATACACTCTTAAAATGCTCAGCTTCAACTTCCACAAGAAAAACTAAACCTTCAGTAACATAGCTGGCACTTGATGATAGCAAATACACTAATTCCCAACAAGCAGTTAACTGTTGTACCTTCCTATTTTGCATACAGGTGAGCTGTCAATGATTAAGAAAAACCATCCTTCACATCCGGTAGGAAACATGTTTACTCACTATCAGAAGCCATAAAACGCGCCTCAACATTGCATCTCAGTTCTCATCTTCACCTTCCAGTGTCTGGCTTGATTCCCTCACAAAATTATGACAAATGTTACAATGAACACAAAAACACTTGGTTTGTTGTTGTTGTTGTTGTTTTTTTTTTTTCAAGACAGGGTTTCTCTGGGTAGCCTCAGCTGTCCTGGAACTCAATCTTTAGATCAGGCTGGCCTTGACTTTATAGAGATCCTCCTGCTTCTGCCTCCCAAATGCTGGGATTAAAGGCATGCGTCACCACAGCCCAGCTAAAAACACCTGGTTTTTATTTTATTCATTCATTCATTCATTCATTCATTCACTCACTCATTTATTTTTTAGTTTTTCAAGACAGGGTTTCTCTGTTTAACAGCTTTGGCTGTCCTGGAACTCGATCTGTAGACCAGGCTGACCTTGAATTCACAGAGTTCCAATCTGTATACCAGATTGGCCTTGAATTCAGAGTTCCGACTGCCTCTGCTTCACAGTGCTAGGATTAAAGGCATGCACCACCAGGCCTGCTAAAAACTCGTGTTTTTATTTATTTATTTTTGGTTTTTCGAGACAGGGTTTCTCTGTGTAGCTTTGTGCCTTTCCTGGATCTCACTCTGTAGACCAGGCTGGCCTCAAACTCACAGAGATCCACCTGCCTCTGCCTCCCGAGTGCTGGGATTAAAGGCGTGCACCACCACCACCCGGCTAAAACTCGTGTTTTTAAAAGAGGATCATGTAACCCATTTTTCCTCTTACCTTAGGCAGAATTAGGTGGTAGATGGTGACAGGTTTTCTAGATATTCCTAGAGTATCCTCTCCAAAATGCAGTAGGAATCCTTACTGTCTTAGGGTTTCTATTACTGTTAAGAGACACCATGACCACGGCAACTCTTATAAAGGAAAACATTTAATTGGGGTGACTCATTTACAGTTCAGAGGTTCAGTCCATTATCATCATGGTGGGGCATGGTGCGTCCAGGTAGACATGGTGCTGGAGAAGTAGCTGAAGAGTCCTACATCTTGCAGGCAACAGGAACTGCTGAGACACTGGGCAGGGATTGAGCATATATGAGACCTCACAGCCCACCTCCACATTGATAGATTTCCTCCAACAAGACCACATCTATTCTAACAAGGCCACACATCCTAAAGTGCCATTCCCTTTGGGGGCCATTTTCTTTCAAACCACCACATTTACCTTCTGAGTGCTTTACTTTAGTTACAATACTGTTACCATGTGTCTTAGGGTTTCTATTACTGCAACAAAACATGACCAAAAAGCAAGTTGGTGAGGAAAGGGTTTATTTGGGTTACATTTCTGTATCACTGTTCATCACTGAAGGAGTCAAGACAGGAACACAAACAAGGTAGGATCCTGGAGGGACAAGCTGATGCAAAGGCCATGAAGGGGTGCTGCTTACTGGCTTATTTCCCATGGCCTGCTCAGCCTACTCTCTTATAGAACCCAGGACCACTAGCCCAGGGATGGTACCACCCACAGTGGGCTGGGCCCTCCCCCATTGATCACTAGTTGAGAAAATGCCTTACAGCTGGATCTCATGGAGGCATTTCCTCAACTGAGGCTCCTTCCTCTCTGATGACTCCAGTTTGTGTCAAGTTGACACAAAACCATCCAGTACACCACGTTTGATACCTTTCACACTCAGCAAAACATAGTTGGTTAGAGATACTGAGTAAACTTCTGCAAATCAAGTTTATCAATCCATTGATAAATTCTGCTGTTAACTGTAAAACATAACTGATTTCAGCCACTTTTCATCTATAGCATTGACATTTTAATAGAAGGCTGCTGTATGAGTCAGGGCTCTCTAAAGTAACACAACTTTTAAGAATGAATCTCTCTCTCTCTATATATATATATATAGAAAGGGGATTTATTAGAATGACTTACAGGCTGCTGTCCAGCTAATCCAACAATGGCGGGGTATAGCTGGAGTTTTTCTCCAGTCCCACCTGGGCCCTCAGCCGCTCAGACCCAAGTAAACACACAGAGACTTATATTACTTATAAACTGTTTGGCCGTGGCAGACTCCTTGCTATCTAGTCCTTATATCTTAAATTAACTGTTTGGCCGTGGCAGACTCCTTGCTATCTAGTCCTTATATCTTAAATTAACTCATTTCTATCAATCTATAAGTTGCCACATGGCTTGTGGCTTACCGGTACTTTCACATCATGCTTCCTGTCTCTGGCTGGTGACTCCCGACTCAGCCTTCCTGTTCCCAGAACTCTCCTCTCTGCTTATCCCGCCTATACTATACTTCCTGCCTGGCTACTGGCATTTTACTTATAAATAGCATTTTATTTATCAATCAATCAATCAATCAGAACAACACATTCACAGCATACAGAACATCCCACAGCAGCTGGGTGTGAATGGAAGTTCCAAGAATCCAGCAGTTGCTCAATTCATAAAGCTGGATGTCTCAGTGGGTCTTCAGTAGACACTGGAATCTTGAAGAAGTAGGCTCTAATGCCAATGAAGGGATGGACTTGCTAGCAAGGCGAAGGCAAGCAGGCAAAGCATAAGCTTCCTTCTTCCCTGTTCTTATATAGGTTCCCAACAGAATGTGTGGCCTAGATTAAAGATGTTTCTTCCCACCTCAAGTTCTAGATTAAAGGCATGTCTTTTCTCAGCTCAAAAGATCAGGATTAAAGACATATCTTCCTACCTCAAAGATCTAGGTTAGAAGTGGATCTTCCTACTTCAAATTAAGCAAAAAAATCTTCCACAGGTATGCTTTCCATTTATAGATTTTAGTTAATCCCAGATGTACACAAAGTGACAACCAAGAATAGCCATCACAACTGCCATCGCACTGTTTGCCTGAATAATTGTTAATGGCCGGAAACTGTTTTTTTCAGTTTCTATTAATTTTTCCCTCAACAGCATCAAGACAATGTTAAATAGAATAATTTTAAGAAAACAGCAACCATCTAGTAGATCATGCCACTTTTCTGCTTGAAATCTTGTGGATTCTCCACATTGCTTAGAATGTGGACACTTTAAGACTTCCATTTAGGGATCACAAACTACAGCCTACAGGCCAAATCTAACCTTCTTCCACCTACCTATTTCTGGAGATGCCTTTCCTAGGGTCACATACTGTCTACAGTTGCTTTTTTACAGTTCCAAAGAGCTGAGTAAGACAACAGATGACATGGCTCACCCCATCTCCTCAATTCTATCACTGGATCTTCAGCTAACCTCCTAGCTCCGTCTCAACCAAGCTTTTTCTAATGGAGTTTACACTTCCTGAAATAATTAGCACTAGCCAATGACTCCCTCATCATCACCAAGGTCTCAGTTTCAGTGTCAACTCTTGGACTTTTCCTGACCAAACAAACCAAAGAGGCTCTTTCAACCACTCTAGACATCTGTCCTGAAAACAGTAGCACTGAGTTGTTTTCCTTTATAATGGTTGAGAAAGCATATATCTCAAATGACCTAGCTTTTTAGAGGTATCAACCTTTCGACACTGCAGCGACACTGTGGTTTACAATTGTGTTGGGCCATATTCATAGCTACCCTGGGATACATGCAACATACAAGGGCTTAGATGAACCCAACTTTGCTGGCACCGTCTACCAGCACTGTTGTCAGAAACCAGTTGAGTATATATATATGCCTTGCCCATTGGCCTAGTTAAGTTAGGACACTGACCTTGGGCAGATCAAGGGCGTAGAGCTGCTTCACAATCAGTCTTACCTGGTGTTTACAGGCTTGACACTTGCCATTGAAGACAAGTGCTGTCTCTTTTTCATGACCGCTCAGTGGCGAGGGAGCATGATTGATTGTTTTCCTGAGGTGTTCTTCTAAGGCTATTTGAGGTGCTTCTGGAGTCAGTGTCTTGGGCTGCTGAAAGGCAGGTGACAAGTGGTTTGTTTATTTGGGTCTCCAAAGCTGTTATTGGGGTTTGGAAAGGGCAAGAGCTTCCATTTTTACACTTCTGGTGCCATCATGGTGAAAATGGTGCAATAACATGGTAATGAACTTTAAAATCACACACTGGTTTCTCTCTCCCCTAGGACATAAGCTCTAGGGGAGAAGAGATACCTGCTTTGTTCCGACTCATTTCCATTTTAATCAGCACAATTCACTTAGTACCACAAATAATGTCTGGTATTGCCTTTAAATAAGAGACACCAATGTTTAACTCCCAAGTAAATGATAGACACTAGGGACACTTCCAATACTGTAGATTTGCACTAACAATGCCCTGATATCAATCACAGATGGCCTGAGGAAGATGAATTAGGATTTTTGGCCACACCATAGGCCCAAATCCACTGATAGCAACTCTTCTGGACATGGGTTCATTTTGTACTTGGTCAGTAAGGTTAAATCAGGGAAAGTGATGTTCTAGAACAAACACATTCTCAACATTATGATGATTTATGGTTAAGAATTTTATTATCAAAATTATTACATCTCTTGTGAAAGTTCAAATGTTACAGCAAGGTGTAAACACTCCACTTGAGGAAGAAGCGATGCTCCTTCCCTTCCAAGAGTCCCCCCTCCCCCCACCCTCCCCCCCAGAGGTCTGGTCTTGACAGCACCCTGCCCACACAGAGTGGCTGGGGTCTCTGCACGTGCCAGGCAGGGTGAGGGCCGCCTGCCCGCTGGCCTCTCCCCTTAGCTTTTAGCCAAAGGGAGAATGCAAACCCCAGCCCAAATGGAGAGACATTTACATACGTTTTATATAATATACAAAGAAACCGGCATCCCAGGCAACATGATTTCCACTCCCAATGCTCTCCCAGACTGATGGGTTTGTGGGGAAAACAACAAAAAGAAAAGTATTATGCTGAGGGTTCAGCATTAAAAACAAAACAAAACAAAAAACTAAAACCAAAACAGAAAATCTCCCCTCATTTGAGCAAACACCTGATTTCAATTTTGAAAAGTGAAATTTTGTAACAGTCACACACAAAGAGAGAAGACTGTGCATATGATAGTTGTAGTTCAGGGTAGAAAAGGAGATGAAAGAGGCTGGGGAATGGGAAAGAAAACAGATTAGAGGTAAGGAGGGAGACTCACAGTATATCTTGTCCAAAAGAAGTCCGGTCCACTGCAGCACCAGGGATCACACTGTCATACACTCACTACCCTACCATGGTTATAGCTGAATACAAAATTAGATAAATAAAAACACGCCAGGTATTACAGTAAACAAGTGAAAGAAATAAGCTGGCAACCATATGGAATTTAAAAAGATTGTGTACCCCACCTGGGCTGGCTCCAGGGCTCCTCCAGGGGTGTACAACAGGCACAATGCACTGATGGGGAGAAGCCAGTCTGCTCTTGTCTCTCATCCAGAACAATGTTAGGGGTATGGGTGACTTGTTAACTCTCACCTGCCCACTCTCGTGTAAGCATCCCCTAAAGAAACGTGGGGCAGACCCCACACACAATCACAGCCCTGTCGGTGCCACTCTACAACCCTATCTGCCCCATTCTTACCCTGCAGTCATAAGTGCATGCTTCTCAGTCACGGAGGCAGTCCTGTTCTTAGGACAGCAACTCCTGATGAACTGGGAATAGGAAAATTAAAATTCAAAGGTTCCCCAGACCACTGGATCCTTCCTAAACTGGCCCGCCTCCTTCTCCGCTTACTTCATAGGGCTATTGTTAACCCACTGAAATGTGGGAAGGAGGAATGGGATGGTAACAGCTGGCGCCCAATCCATCCCACATCTGCTCCCAAATAACCAAGAGCTGACCACCAGCTCCTCTCAAAGCCAGGCAAGCCTCAGTCAGAATAAGTGGCAAGCATTCCTCTCTCTGCCCATTTCCTAGTGGCTTTAAGACAAAGGTAGGGAGCACTCCTGGTGGACACACCTTGACCATGCACCTGCTTTTGGAATGGTTGTCTCACAGCAAACATTTACATACCTACCTTTTTTTTTTTTCTTAAGTGCATAAAACCCTAACACTACTCAGATGGCTTGGGGCTTTGAGATTGGCTCTTTCCACTTTTTTCTTTTGAAAAGAAAAAAAAATTTTTTTTTATTGAAAAAGATGTCCTTACTGCACAAGTGACTACAGGCTACAGGCAAGGATGGGAGACATAGGCTTCAACACAAGTCATTGCACTTAGAACCGTTACTAACCGAAACACCATTTGCTTGTTAACAATGTACCCTTAACAGCAGGGAGAAACTTCTTTATAGTCTCTGCTTCAGACAAGATTTACATCTTTCTCCAAGGCCGGAGGCCAGTCACGACCACAAGTCTCATTTCTTGCTGACCAGACCCATTCCTCTGGCACCTTGTACCCCTCTTCCCCAGCAATATGCTCGGCCTTGGTTCCAGAGGCAGCTGGAAGGAAGCAGCTATGGGCTCATCAAGTTCAGTTTGCCCATATCCAGAAGCCCTAGGAAAGTCCTGTCTGAGTCTTGACTCCTGACCCTTGCAGTGGCTGGAGTCGGTACTGGTGTACACTCCCACTCCCACGATGTGGGTAGTGCTGTGAATTGGAAACCGCAGATACCCTGGAGGCCTGGTAGGCAGCTGACTGCCCAGCACTGGGCAGACTGATAGTCCGTAAGTCTGATGGCAATGACGACCTAGAGTTCTGAGGAAAGGAGGTGGAACTCAGCGTTCCTGTGCTGGGCTGAGAAACCGAGTCTGAGGTTGGTGAGTCTGAGGGGCCCTGTGGGGTAGGGCTAGCAGCACTCGAAGAACAGCTCCTCCTCGGAAGATTGCTGCCAGTGCTGTTTCCAGAATGCGGCTGGCTGCTATAATACCCTGCAGTCCCCGTAAATGGGGCCAACGAGTCTGTGGACACAGGGTGGGCAGGGCTGGGGTAGGATGTGGAAGAGAGGGATGATTCTGAAGAACCGTGAGAGGGGGGGTTTCCAGGTCTCAGTGCAGTAGTTCGATAACTGTATCCTGGAGACTGGGTGGGATGTCCTCTAAAGGGGGACGAACTCTGCTGAAGGAGGCTTTGTGATTCTGTCCGTGGACTGTCACACTGGAGGAGCTTCAAAGAGTAGGGAGGAAAGTGTAAGGAAGTTAACACAGTCCTGTCAACATTGTGGAGTGTTTATAACATTCTACATTTATTTATTTATAATTATTTTGGTTTTTTTTTTTTTTTTTTTTGAGGCAGGGCAACCCTGGCTGTCCTGGAACTCACACTATAGACTAGACTGGCCTCGAACTCACAGATCCCCCTGCCTCTGCCTCCCAAGTGCTGGGATTAAAGGTGTGTGCCACCCATCACCTGGCTACAACATTCTATTTTTATTCTTTGCATTAAAAAGTGTGTATGTGTATGTGCTACAACACTAATGTGGAAGTCTTAGGACAACCTGGAGTACATTCTTTCCTCCACTGTGTGGGTTCTGGGGATTAAACTCAGGTCATCAGGCTTGATCACAAGTGCCTTTATCCACTGAGCCATCTCACTAGCCCCCAAAATCAGTTTTGAAAGGGTATCAGCAACAATCTCTGATTATCTCATTTGCTTTACTGAAATCCCTGAGGTAAGCAGATGATGGCTGACTTATAGGGCTGCTGAGACACTATTCAATGTCAGCAGCTGACAGTGTTATCATGACTAGGAATATAGCACATCTCCACAGGCACCCCTCTCCTTAGAGCTTAGCAGACTTACCTGGTAGCTGTATCTGGAAGGGCTGTAAACAGTTGCTCCTTTAGAGAGTGCTGAGCTCAACGGCTCTGGGCCTTCTCCATCTGCAGGGTCTGGAAAGCATTATAAAAATCAACTTTGGCTTCTCAGAATACACAGGAAAATAGACATCATCCACTCAAATCAATGTTATCAACACATGCTGCTCTCTGTGATAAAATGAGCGCAGCATGCCAGGAGGGCAAAGTAAGTGGTTAATTATGCGCTAAATTTTAAATGCCTCATCTTATTCTCTTCTCCTTCTTTTTCTTCATCCTTCATGGAGGTGGAGCTCCGGAACTTTGGAGAGATGAGAGTTACAGAAAAGTATCCCTTGGGAAAAGAGCAGACAGAGAGCAAGCAATGCTAGATCTCATGAATACTGTAGCTCAAAGAGCAAGACTGAGCTGGAGACTAGGGTAGAGCAGAACCCAGGCTTGTCAGAAAGACGCACTTCATCCCAGCATTTGTTGTGAACTGCACACTGTGGCTTACCTGACTCTTTCTCTGTCATGTTGCTCTCCCATGTGGGGGAGGGCTCTCCCTTTTGGGCCACTCTCACACTGCTTCGGAGAACCTTAGGGATGCTTCCTCCTTCTCGGAGTCGTTCAACAGATGTAGGAACCATCCTGCAAAGGTACCAGGGTGTAAGTTTAAGCCACAGGAATTTCGAGCCAAGAGTCTGAAACAAGTAACTGTAACAAAGATGATGTAGTAGAGTCTCTCTCTTTCTTCTTCTGAGACAGAATTTCTCTGGGTAGTCCTGGCTGTCCAGGCTTTGTAGACCAGGCTGGTCTTGAACTCAGAGACCTCCCTGCCTCTGCACCACCATTTGGTCGGCCACAGTACAGTCTCTTATGTGAAATTTTCTCCTCTGTGAAGCTGTGTTCCTGACACATATACTATAGGTTAATACAGGACTCTTATATTAATGAATATAATGATTTGAAACTTTGTCTCTTCTTTCCCAGGCTCATTTCTTTATTTCAAGATCCCCATGCTTGAGGATCCCTGGAGCTCACTGGCGAGAGACTCTGGCTTAATCAGTGAACTCCGAGTTCAATAAGAGATTCTGTCTCATAAGTTAGGTGGAAAGTGATAGAGGCAGGCACCCAGTGTTGATCGTGGGATTGCAAATGTACCACGTCAATGTATCTTCCACCCCACCTCTGAAAAAAAGAAACACTGAGAGCTGCATCCCTAGCTGGGGTACTGTGATGCATGTCTATAATCCCAGCACCCTCGAAGCAAAGGCGGGATCAAATAGTTCAAGGCCAGTTTGGGCTACAGAATGAGACTCTGCCTCAAAAATCTGCAGAGGAAAACTAAACCAACCTGTAATCCTATTTCATCCAACACCCACAACTTGTCATTACTATTACTTAGTTTTCTATGATGTCTCCTAAACTAGACAAGTCCTTTCAGAGCATCTCATCACTCTGCATATGCTAGCTCCAAGGGACACAGTTCTTAAATTAGAGGAACCTGGAGTTGGCAAGATAAAGGTGCTTGTTACCAAGTCTAAAGACCCAAGTTCAATCTCCAGAACTAACATAGTGGCAAGGAAGAACTGATTCCTGGAAGTATCATCTGACCTCCATATGCATGTATGTGCACGCGCGCGCACACACACACACACGGTGTGGCTGTTCACTTACTTTTCATATAAATTAAGACAAAGAGCCCTCCTAATAAAATTGCTTATGGGTACCCACAACTTCACTACACATTGTCCAGTGAGACTCTAAAGGGTGGGATGTGCTTATACTAACTAGCTGAACAGGACAGATAGCAAATTGGAGGCTGCCTGTCTCAGGTAAGTGCTCTCATACATTTTAGGTAAAACTGGAAATGATCTGAATAAATATTTCCTACCTGAATTTAATTTTAAAGCTAATTAAATATAAACTTACCACCTACTGCTGATGTTTTCTTGAGGTCTGCAGTGAGAGGAGGAAGTGCCCCTGGAATCTGATGGGCTTACCGCCTCCAAATGTGATGTGGAGGAATGAGATGGGGAGAATTTTTTGTGAGGGGACGAGGGGGTCCGGGCTGAGGATCCCTGCACACCATGGGCAGCAGCATCAGAAACAGAGTTACTGCTGCCTTGTCCAGCTCCTGCAGACTTGCTTTTGCTCTGTGAAGAGTCACTTCCCCCACCAGAATTCTCCTTGGCTTCTTGTTTCCGTTTGCGGTACTCTAGCAAGGATACCTAGATATGAAGAAGCAGCTATCATTAGCGAGTGGCTTACTGGCAACAGGGAAAAGAAAAGAGTCCTGGGTAAAGCAGTAGCAAGCCATGCAAACAAAGCAGGCACCAATTATGATAACCTTTATTGTATTTTTAAACTATATGTGTGTGGCTGTGTGTGCGAGTACAGGTGCTGGAGTTGGAATACCCCTGGAGAGACCATCTGATGTGGGTGTTGTATATTGAACTCACATCGTCTAGATGAGCAGGATGGGCTCTTAACCACTAAGAGATCTTTCCAGCCCCATATAACAACCTTTTTCAGGTATAAAAGAGATCTGATCACTGCTACAGATTCAAGCCAGTCAGAAACTGGTGAGGGGGAAAAGAATACCCTAAATGTCATTTTTGAAGAACGGCGCTCAAGCGGATGGCATCCTCTGTCTTCAGAGGAGCCTGTGAGATTACTGACACCTTCGTCACCTATCAGTTACGTCCAACAACTGGGGCATCTGTGAGAATAGGGCAGAAAAATGCAATTTTTATGCACCTTGGAAAAACCAGTTCTTCACTCCCTAGGAACACCCACTCCATCAAAAACAAACAAATAAACCCACAATAAATAAAGTACCACCAAGAGGAAAAAGGTATGTATTTCATGGTTCTTCATTATACTCAAATTTGGAAAACACACAATGGGATTTGGGGTTATTTGTATTACATATAAGGGAATAAAAGTATTTTAAAGCAAGAAGAAATTTCATTTATAGACTTCAGCAACCTATCTGTAACTTGGAAACGTTTTCCAAATCCTCAAACCACCTTCTAATCTTTACTCATTTCTACACCCCCACCCCCTGCTGTCAACAACAGACCTTTTTCCTGTCCACCAAGTATTGTGCTCTATTGCTTATTGAGCCTACTATAGAATCTTGTTTCTTGACTAAGCTATAAGTTGTATTAAGGTATAGGTTAAGCTTACTGAGCTTTTAATTTTTTTTTTTTTTAAGATTTATTTATTATGTATACAGAAGAGGGTTGCCAGATCTCATTACAGATGGTTGTGAGCCACCATGTGGGTGCTGGGAATTGAACTCAGGACCTCTGGACCTCTCGAAGAGCAGTCGGTGCTCTTAACCTCTGAGCCATCTCTCCAGCCCCGAGCTTTTAATTTTTTTCCTCTGTGTGTGTACAAGCACATATATGATGCATATATGGGGGTCAGAGGACAACTTTTTTGGAGTTGGTTCTTTTTGAGGGAATTTGTCTTGTTACTCTGCCCTTGCACCGCATATGTAGACTTCTGGCTGATTCTCCTGTTTCCACTTTGTATCTTGCTATGAGTGCTGAGGCTGGGATTATAGACTTTGGCTTTAGAGTTAAAATCATTTGTGTGTGTGTGTGTGAGTGTTTTGCATGCATGCGTATCTGATGCTGGTGGAATCCCCAGGACTTGAGTAAGAGCCACTGTGAGCCATGTGGGTGCTGGGAATTGAATCTTAGTCTCTGAAAGAGCAGCTCTTAACTGCCAAGCCATCTGTCCAGCCCTGGCTCTGGCTTTTTAAATGTGGGTTCTAGAGATCAAACTCAGGTTGCCAGGGCTACATGGCTAGCATTTTTACCTGCTAACTCATCTTGCTGGCATATATTTTATTTCTGAAGGGAAGAGTTGGGTTTCTTTGGAGATAGTCTCATGTATCCTGTATGGTCTCAAATTCCTGCCTCTTCCTCCTAAGTGCTTGGATAGATTATAGTCAAGTATCACCATGCCTAGCTCTATTTGTATGGTTTTTTTTTTTTTTTTTTTTGAGACTGAATGTATGTAGACCAGGAAGCCCTTGGATTTAGGATCTAACTACCCCAGTCTCCCAGGTCCTAAGATCACAGAAGTGCGACACCACACATAAGCTTATTTACCTTTAATTAAAAAACAAACAAAACAAAATCCCATCTACTTATTCACTAATGTGTAGGTCAAAGGACGACCTGGGGAAGTGGGTTCCCTCCTTGTACTACATGTGTCCTGGGGACCAAAATCAGGTCTGTCAGGCTTGGCAGCAAGTGCATTTATCCACTCATCTCCCACTGGCCTTTCCTTGACTTTAAAATACTGTATTATTAGCTGGCTGTGGTGGTGCACACCTTTAATCCCAGCACTTAGGAGGCAGAAGCAGGTGGATCTCTTTGAGTCTAATGCCAGCCAGTGTAAAGAATGAGTTCCAGGACAGCTAAAGCTACACAGAGAAACCCTGCCTTAAACAAACAAACAAAAAAACCAAAACCAAATCAACCCCTCCCCCCAAAAAACCCTATTTTATCTACCCACATGTATGTGTATGTGGCTTGAGAGCGAAGAAGGGGATGTGGGATGCCTTGGAGCTGGAGTTGTTGTTGTTTGTGAGATATCCCATGTAGGTGCTAGGGTTCTGAATTCAAGTTTTGTGACAGACCAGTTAATGCTCTTACTAGCTGAACCATCTCTCTAGTCACCCATTCCTTGGCCTTTGATTAACACTCAGTATAAAAATTTGGCACATCACAGGTGCCCAATATATTTTACAAATATTTCTGAAGCAACTTTAACTTCAATTACCTACATATATAACAAATGAAACTAGAAATGCAAAGACATTTGTCATGTTATGTATTTTTTCAATAATTTATTTTTATTTTATATGTACTAGTATCTTTGCCTTCATGTGTGTCTGTGTGAGGGTGCTGGATCCCCTGGAACTGCAGTCACAGAGAGTTGAAAGCTGCCATGTGGGTGCTAGGAGTTGAACCCAGGTCCTCTGGAAGAGCTGTCCGTTCTCTTAAGTGCTGAGTCATCCCTTCCGACCAATGTTGGTGTGTATTTTGTAAGTCAGTACTACTCATACAAGGCTTTGAACCCCCACCATTATCTTACTCCCTATTGTGTGCAGTGTTTCCTTTTCCTATCATAAAAGCTCTTAATTTTGTGTCTTAGTGTGAAATACCACAAAAACAATAAAAATAGTTCGTGTATGCATTTTTATATATAATCTTGGAGAGAAGCTAATAAACTTGGATAATGAACACTACTGTAATTAAAATAAAGTCTCAAGTCTCTAAATTTCTTTCTTTTCCTTTTTTTTTTTTTCCCCAGACAGGGTTTCTCTATGTAGTTTTAGGTGTCCTGAACTTGCTTTTGTAGACCAGGCTGGCCTCGAACTCAGAGATCCTCTTGCTTCTGCCTTCCAAGTGCTGGGATTCAAGGTGTGCAACAGCATCACCTGGCATCACAAGGCTCTATTTCAATGAGGATACAACTAGTTTTTTTCTGTGAAAATGTTACACATGGGATACTCGGCATTGTTAGTCCCTAACAAAAAATACATCCAAGTCACTATGACAACCCAGAATATTCTCAAAAGCATAGACTAAAAACAAAAACAAAAACACCAGGCAGAGTTTAGGTTTTGTGGTTTTTGAGAACAGGCATGCCTTCTAAGCCTCACACCATGACAAGCTCTCTAAGGTCTAGTCTGCCCACGGCATCCTGGTCCTGGTCTTCCCTGGTGTCATCAATGCAGTCCACTGTCTGCACCCCAGGGCAGCATTACAAACCGATCGTACAGTAACATCTTCATCTAGATTTGTGGCTGATTCATTCTCGTTTGAAATGTAGCTAAACCCCCCAGCTCTGAATTCCTACTCCTCAGGCTAAATAAAGACTTCCTGTTCATTCTTAAACTACCCACTACATAGGGGATTCCTCTAAGATATGAACAACTCCATTGGAGAAACTACCACCACCGTAATTCAGGATTTATTAATTCTATTCTCTAGTGAAGCTCCACGACCATAGAATTTAGGAGGTGATCCAGCACATTAACAGCTAGAACATGCAATCTGGAATAAGAATCACTGTAGTATACCCTGGCTCCTTCATTTATTAGCTGTGTCTGTCACCAAAGGCAAGTTACTCAACTAGCTTTAGTTTTCTCATATGCAAAATGGAAAATCCCCTAATTATACAACCACTGTAATGACAAAATGAATTAATGAAAACAAAACATGGTCTCTATGTAGCTCCAGTTAGCCTTGAACTTTCTAAAAATCTAGATTCTTTATTTATTTGTCTGTATGAGTATATGTATGGGTGCCCACGGAGGCCAGAAGAGGGCACTAGAACCCCTGGAACTGGAGTTAACATTAAGTAGCTGTAAACCACTAACTCAAGGAGTCCTTTGTTGCTGATCCAGCCCTCCAGCCTCTGACATTGACCTTCTCAATTCTCCTGCCTCAACTTCACAAATGGGAGCTGGGATTATATATGTGAACCACATCTGTCTAAGAAAACACATATGACGGTCTTAAAAGCTGTGCCCTCAACTGAGTTCTGCAAGTAACACAGCTTTTAGTATTCTTTCCAGTGCTCTAGCCTTTCAGTAGCACACAACATTTATTTAAAAGCCTAGGATGGCTTCAGCTTTGCAATCCCACTTCAACCTTCAGAATGCTAAGGTCATAGGTAGGTGCCACTATGCCTGGCTGGATATTTGCTTATTTGTATTGGTGATGCTGGAGACGGAAGGCTACACAAGTATTCTTCTACTGACTACACTTCAGTCGTCCTGGTTATTCACAACACTTACCAGCGGTACTAATACAGTCTACTTCTCAGGGCCTGAGAGATGCCAAGACTGAAGATGACTCAAATTCAGTCCCAGGGTCCACACAGTGGATAGAGAACTGATTCCCACAAGTCACCTTCTGACTTCCACATATGTGCCTTTGGAATATTCATGCCCCCTACACCCCGCATAAACCAAAGAAGCAAATGTAATTAAATAAGATCTAATTTTCACAGATTACAGCATAGAGCAGGACAAGTGCTATGACTGGAGCTTACAAAGTTCTGAATTATCTGGTTAATACCCTTTAGGAGTGGCCCTATATAACATGAACACTTACTTTTTTCCTTTGTGGTGGGTTCTGAGGAGCAGATGGGACTCCGTCACAGGCCCTTTCACCACCAGGTGACATGGAGCCACGAGAGAGGTCTTTCAGAAAGCCATGTTCATATCTGCTGGAAAAGCCTTCTGCAGGGGAACAATATCCTCCATCTAAATGCAAAGGCTTCCTGTCCCCCACCAAGGGGGACCCTCTATACAGTCCATCTGCTCGAGGCATAGCGTTCAAAGGGGAATAGGCGTACATCAAGTTGAACTCTGTCCTAAACGCCTGGTCTGAATTTCTCAGCAAGGTCTGAGAGCCATCTCCACTCCTGTTGGGGAAGCCAGCCTCTGAGGTTGGAGCGACAGAGGGATGAGAAGCCAGGTCAGGATGACTGCAGTTGAGCAGGGAAGGTCTATCAGCACAGCTGTGAGTGCTAGAGTCTGGGTATCCCACTTTTGACAAATCCAGGTCTTTTCGGTGGCAAAGCTGAAAAGGATTAAAAAAAAAAAAAATCAACAGACATATGGGGCATAGTAGAAAGGAAAAGTCAAAGGGCAGCAAGGGAGGTAGAGGGGCACAGGTGTACAAGGAGAAAGATAGAAGCAGAAGAAAGACTCATTAACATGTGTAAAGTCCATTGAGCAAAGAAAGTGCCCACACGCCAGACTACTAAGGACTCACAGTGTTTCTGCATGAGAACACTGGGGAAGCTGGCACCAGGCAACTAGACAACATGACTACTCTGTCTGCTCAGTCTTCATCAGGCTGCTGGCCAACCGACAGCGTACTTGGGGGCTGGCAGTGCAATCAGGGGCATATCTGAGCCCCAAGCACAATACAGGAAGGTCTTAAATTGCTGGTTTCCAGTGTTATACATTACTAAATTAGTATCAATGGGGGAGGTGGTGAAGGAAGGTGGAGAAAAGTAGAAGGTAGCTGCAAAGTCAAATATGTAAATTACTGGTTCAGTAGGAGAATGGCATTAAAAATAGTTTATCATTAACTTATACCTTGAATTATGTTTCTCATGTAACTTTCTGTCTGATCAATTCTTCTGTGTCCTCTGCTGTCTATCAATAAATGTATCAAAGGACTGCTGATACCTACCACTACAGAGCACCAGTGATAAAACCCACCTACTATTGCTTATCCTCTCCTAACATCAAGATTTCTACTAGGTCAACTGCCTATAAAGAAGGTACCAGAAATCCAAATACCATGTCAAATATCAAATCCCTACTATATTAGAATCTTTAGCAACCAAGGTCAGAACAACCTATACTTTTCCAACAAGTAATATCCAGCAAATCAACAGTAAACTAGTAGAATACAATCTTTTCAGTTTCTTAATGATCTATAGAAAATCTACTGACTCAGATTTTGGATAATCCTCAGGTAGTTGGTCACCTAATTATTTTAGAGTGGGATTAAAGATCAGTTAATTTCTAAAGATCCAGAGATTATAATTTTCTCCTTAAGAGGAAAAAGGCTCCATGTAGATTTATAGGGTTAATAATTACTACATTTGCCTAAAGTTTATAATAAAAGTTAACACTAAAATCTGAATTTAGGATCTTTACAGAGGAAGGGTTTCCAAGAAAAGCACTCAAAGGCATTCAGTGATAGTCTAAGAGGCATCATTCACTGTACAGCAACCATATCCCAGACACTGTAGAACAGAGGATTAAGGTTCCTTGCATATTTACACCCAGTAAGGAGTTCCAGGGAACATGAAGGAAAGCTGAAGAAAGTTGGATTCACGAAGAAAGCTGCTCAACTATGACCCAAAGTCCAATGGGGAGCTGTCAATTCAACCCCAATAATACATCCACAGCATGAATACTGAGATAGTGCCTACCAACCCCACTTTCCTTGTTAATAAGCAGACATTATTCATCACTTTCTCCAACAAGACTCTGATAGCACTAGAATCTGTATCCTTTCAAGATTTTCTTCTTTAATGAAACTCTTCAACCACTGCTTCCCCCAAATGACAACAACAAAACCCTAACCCCACAACATATATATAGCTACTTAACTTTCTTGGGTCTATTTCTACAGTTACACAGAATATTCACTCTACTTGCTGTGAATGAGTGAGTGACTGTCTTCCAGCCCAGCACCCCATTTACTCAGATTCCCAGCCCTCCCACACATTCAGGACTACATTCATGCACTCACTCTCAGCCTCCATGTGTGATTGAGATGGTGTGATAACTACCTCAGGTGACAGGGACTTAGGTCTGTGCACAGAGGAACCCTCAAGGGAAGATATGTTCTAGAGGAGGGAAAGTATCATGTTATTCATCTACTCTAAGTCAAGAAGAAAAACACAAGAGAAAGTAAAGCATGGAAGTTAGCCATAACCTTTTTATTTGGAGGCGGGGATAGGTATGGTTAAGAATGCACAGGGGAGAGGGATGGCAGTGGTGGTGCATGCCTTTAATCCCAGCACTCAGAAGGCAGATCCAGGTGGATCTCTGTGAGTTCGAGGCCAGCCTGGTCTACAGAGTGAGTTCCAGGACAGGCTCCAAAGCTACACAGAGAAACCTTGTCATGAAAAACCAAAAAGATAAAAAAAAAAAAAATGCACAGGGAAAATGTTTAACTGCAGAACTCACTCCATGGACAAAGTGATTTGCTTCCTGGTGTCTTGGAAAGTACTTAAGGAAAACTGGGTATTAATGTTTTATGCTGTAAGTACACACCTCAAGTAGAACTGAGGAAAGAGGTGAAATGTTAAACTTTTTAAAAAAAATTTTATTTTAGAGTATTTAGTGTTTCTTATATGGTGGGGAGGGCACCTTAACCCTTATTCTTTCTAGAGGAACTCTGTTCCTTCTCCTCATACCCCTCTGATCATCATCTTTCTTTACTTTCTTACTAGCTTCAGGCCCTATCAGTTACCCAAGGGAATACCTGGGATCTAACAGAAGAGAGAGACGGCTAGTTCCTCTTAGCCTTGTGCATCCTTAGCAGTTAGATAGAATTCATAGTATTTTAGGTACCACAACAAAACAAAGCAAAAAACAAACAATGAAACAAAAAAAAAGTAAGACAACCCCCGCCCCCCAAAAAGCGCAAAACATACCATGTGTATGTCTCTGTCTGTGAACTACACAGGATACAGAGGACAGGACACTCAGCTGAGGCAGTGCCTCCCTACACACAGGGACCGGACTGTCCATGAGCTCTTGATGGTGATTTGAATGGCAACAGGAAAGTGATGATGGTAGCTAGGACAAGGACTCAGGGTACCAGTGACTAGGGTAAGGGGAGAGTTATCAAAACTGTGACCCAGAGAGCAGACATAGGCCATGCCATAATAGGACATATGGAGCTGCTTCAGCAAAACAAGGTTTGGATAGTCAATGTTTTTCAGTGGGGAAGGTGCTGGGTGTTCAAGGTACACTAGAGCCCATGTAAGACAGAGTATAGATCTCAGAGCACACAAGGGAAAGGGAAGGCTAAGTGGGCAATTTCTTTCAAGTTGCTTTCATTCTTCCTCTAGATTCTTTCCCTTCCTGAGAAGCTCGTTCTCTTTGTGTATCTCATCCCCCTCAGCACTAGGTATGTCCTGAATGAATGTTGCCTACTCCAAGTTTTCCCCTTTCCACTTGAAGCTGGTTTTACTTGTGATAACTTTTTGATATTTAAAACAAAAACAAAAACAGAACTCTGAGATTCTATTTGTATGCGTTTGCCTGCTTGCATGTCTGTGTATCACATGCATGCAGTACTTGAAAGGATCAGAAAAGGGCATTAGATTCCCAGAGACCAGTGTTAACAAATAGCTGTGGGGAGCCATATGGGTGTGTTGGGAAATCAAAATTGGGTCCTCTGGAAGAAAAGTCAGAGCTCTTAACTACAGCTACTCTAGACTGTATTTCATTTTACTTTTTAAATTTTTTTTTTTTTTTTTGGTTTTTTTTCGAGACAGGGTTTCTCTGTGTAGCTTTGCGCCTTTCCTGGAACTCACTTTACTTTTTAAATTTTTAACAGAAAAATTTTCTTTCAACATTTTCTTCTTCCAAATAACAATTGTACATTAGAAGAACAATATAGGGGGCCTGCGCGGCGCCTGCGTGCTCAGTGACCTTTCCCTGTCTAGTGGATTCTGTTGTGGCCTGTGGCCTTGGTCTTGCTGAGATGCTTCAAAACCTTATTAAGAATGTCTGGGTCCCCATGAAACCCTACTATACCCAGGTTTACCAGGAAATTTGGATGGGAATGGGGTTAATGAGCTACATCGTTTATAAAATCAGGAAAGCTGATAAAAGAAGTAACGCTGTGAAAGGCTCCAGTCCTGCACCTGCCCATGGCCATCATTAACCGCTCCCTGAGTCCACTCACGATGAATCCTGTCGGCTAAACTTAAGCAAGCTGTGTTAGGTGGGAACATGGAACATCGCTGAGCACTTACCTAAGTACCATTTACAATGTAGCATTAATAAATGTATGTGAGTTGCACGATAAAAAAAAAAAAAGAACAATATAGAAATTTTGTATTGAGTCACCTTTCAGTGTATTATTTCCTTTTTAAACGAACTGTGTCTTCAAACTGCAAGGATTATAGATATATGGCCTAGGCCCAATTCTCTGTGTCATCTGTTTTGATGCAAAACAACCTTTCTGTATCCAAATACAGCAAAGACCACTGCTATCAGGATGACAAAGATTGGTAGGATGAAGTTGTTTTTGTAATGGTAAGAATGGTGACACTGCCTTATTTAAATAAGAATTTTATAATCATGCACCTGAAGTTTTGCTATTTAACATATTTTCTTTTCTTCCTTGTGGTGGGATGGTCTTTCTGTACACTGTGAATATGTTGCTACTATTGGTTAATAAAGAAGCTGCTTTGACCTATGGCAAGACAGGTTATACCACGTGGGAAATACCACGTGGGAAATCCAAACAAAGATACAGGAAGAAAGGCAGGGTCAGGGGAGATGCTCGAGCCATCACCTGAGAGGCAAGATGTAATGCAACACAGGTAAAGTCACGAGATATGTGGGCGATACATAGATGAATAGAAATAGGTCAATTTAAGATAAAAGAGCTAGTTAGCAATAAACCCGAGCCATAGACCAAACAGTTTATAATTAATATAAGCCTCTGTGTATTTATTTGGGACTGAATGGCTGCAGGACACAGGAAAACTTACGGTTACACTTCCTGATAATCTTTTGAAAAATTACTGCATTTTCCCATTTAAAAAAAAATATATGTATGTATGGGTATTAAACATGCATATATGTCTGTTCACCATGTGCCTGTGGAAGCATCAGATCCCTGGAACTGGAGTTAGATGGTTGTGAGCCACCATGTGGGTGCTGGTAATAAAGCCCAGTCCTTGGCAAGAGCACCAGGAACTCTGAATTGCTGAGCCATTTTCTAGACACTAAAACATTTTAACTTATTTTAAAAAATTACGTGTGAATGTGTGGTGATATATTGTGTACCCTAATAAAATCCACCTGAAGATCAGAGGACACAGAACAAGCCACTAGATTAAACGCAGAGCCAGGTAGTGGTGGCATACACCTTTAATCCTATCACTTGAGAGGTAGAGATCGTTTGGACCTCTTTGAGTTCAAAGCTACCTTGGACTACATGAGACTGACTTAGCCTAGGAGAGAAACAGAGCCAGAGAGTGGTGGCACACACCTTTATTCTCAGCACTAGGAAACTTGAGACAGGAAATGATAAGGGTGGGCAGAGAAAGGTATATAAGGTATGAGGAGACAAAAACTAAAGTTTTTTGGCCTGAGGAAAGCTTTTCAGGCTGAGGAGTCCTAGAGGTAAAGGGTGGCTTGCTCTTTTGTCTCTCTGATCTTTCACCCCAATATCAGGCTGCGAGTTTTTTATTAAGACCATTTAGGAATTCATGTTACATCATGTGTATGTATGTGTCTGTGCATGTTAGTGCAGATGCCTGAGGAAGACACAAGAGGGAGCTCCATCCCTTGGAACTGAAGTTATAGGAGGTTGTAACCCACCTGATCTGGGTGCTGGCAATGGGAACAAGCTCTGAGCCATGTCTTTAAATCCCATGTTTTAATGTTTAAAACGTAGCATGCATGCATGCATGTATGTATGTATGTATGTATGTATGTATGTATGTATGTACGTACGTATGTACGTATGTACGTACGTCTGTCTGTGTGGTGAAGTTAAAGGTTGAACTTGTGGAGTTGGTTTTTTACTTCTACCATGTGGGTTGCCAGGGCTGAACTCAGGTGGTTAGATATGGTGGCAAGTGCCTTTACTGCTGAGCCAGCCTGCTTCCTGGTATTTTAACTGTATGCTTAGACTAATGTGGTTATATTTTATCTGTGCACTCCAATAAAGCTTATCTGAGGATCAGAGGACAGAGCCAGTCACTATATTAAACATAGAGGTCAGGCAATGGTAGCACACACCTTTAATCCTAGCATTTGGGAGGCAGAGATTCACCTGGACCTCTGTGAGTTCAAGGCCACACTGGGAAAAGAGCCAGGCGTGGTGGCACATGCCTTAAATTCCAACACTAGTTAACAATAGAGGTCTGAGGGTCTGTACAGACAGAAAGTAATAGAGCTGGGCAGAGAGAGGAAGTAAGAGGGCAGGACACAGAAAGGCATATAGGCATGGGTATATAGGAAGTAGTCTCTGGAGGCTGAGGAGTCGGTAAGGGGAGGTTGGTTGTGGCTTGTCCTAGTCCTCTGATCTTTCAGTTTCCACCCCAATATCTGGCTCTGGGTTTTTTACTAATAAGACTGTTTAGCAATTCGTCTTACAGACTAAGATTCACCAAAATCCATGTTCTCTCTCTCTTAAAATACCTTGCATTTACACAGCATTTTATAGTTATCAAATGCAGCAAGAGATAAGAAATGTGCTGGGTATAAATTTGCTTGTTTTGGAAGACTTCTAATTTCTATGATTTCACATTAATAATGAAACCTGCCATGATAAGGTGCAACTCTATTCCTATAACTGATTGCATTCCAGGGACAATTTCTCCTTAGGATATCTTACCATGAAATTCTAATTGCTAACTGATACGAAAGCTTAACTGTTAAGCGGACAAAGTTAGAGGTCTGAATTCTGTTTTAATATCTGATTAAAAAGAATGACACAGGAATATGGTAATTTCCCTAAGAAAATCAAATGTAACCAGGATGACATTTTTGCACCCAGAAAGGTTGGCTCTACAGTAAGTGAATACTGGGCTGAGTTAGAAATAGAGCACATTGTTCTGCTTTCAGTTGCTAGCTCCTTTGCATTAGCCATAGAAGAACCCAGGCACTGTTAATCCTTAGATACTCATTAAAAGTTTCAACAAGACTGAGACATTCAGTTTTATCAAGACAACATCCAGAGAAGTAAGTCAGACTTTTTAGTGGGTGGATCAATTTGTCCCCCACCCCAGAATATCTATTTAATTAAAGCAACATGCAAAAGATGAGTTTTTAATACACATGGATTATATTCACATCTTCCACTTGAACTTGAATATTAAAGTGATTGAGTATGACTTTTAGGAACAGCTTAATACATATATTTCTAATGTAATCCAACCATTAAAGTAGACTAACACATAATAACAGTAGACCAACACATAATAGCAAGGAGGGAGAGTAACCTGGAATGGGAAAATCAAAACAGCAACAAGAACAACAATAAACATTCACCATAAGCCATACCCCAATATTGCTAAGTCTCTGTCCCCTGAGGCCATAGTGGAGCTACCAAAGAACCTGGGAAAGACACTTTACACAGTTAGAAGCCTAACACACAGATGTGAGCCCAGTGTAGTCTGAAAACCCAGGCATGGGAAACTAATGGGTACCACAGGAACCTAGACACCTCTTTTGACCAACATATATACTAAAGATGAAGATCCTGCATGCTTACTACCTAAAATTAAGGAGACCGAAGGACTGAATGTCAAGACAAGTGAATGGGATCTTGGCAGCACTGTTCTTATTTTGGCAAGAACAGGGGCTGCCAAGACAAAAAAGGCTACCAGCCCACAGTGACCCAAGGTTGCTGATTTTTTCTTTTTGGTTTTCTTCAAGACAGGGTTTCTCTGTGTAGTTTTGGTGCCTATCCCTGATCTCACTCTGTAGATCAGACAGGCCTTAAACTCACAGAGTTCCACCTGGCTCTGCCACCCAAGTGCTGGGATTAAAGGCATGCCACCACCGCCTGGTGTGATTTCTTAATGAGATGAAGATGGAAGACAGCTAAGAAACATCTGAAATGATATTATATTTGAAATGAAGAGGTATAAATAATGATTTTCATATCAATCACTCCCAACCACCAAACCCCAATCACCTCGAACTGCAGAGGAGTGTTGGAACGACTAGCAGTAGTAAGAGATGTGATTGGCGAGAACATGAGGCTGTATCCATTTCGACACTCCTCTTCTCCTGGGTGAGTCTGGCCAGGTGTGGACAGCTGGGGACTCTTTGAGCCTGAGCTGGAAGGGGGTGGTGTAACTGGAGACAGAGGCCGAAGCAACTTGGTGATATTCTGCTCCATCAGATAGCGAGACTTCCATTTCTTTAATGGGCTCAATAAGTCTGTGAAACACAAAGCTTGGATGAGAACTGAATCATATCTTACTCTAAGACTAGTTAGCAAAAGCACTGACCTCTAGCCTGCAATGGGTCCTAACTCTTTTATGCCTTATCCCATTAAATTATCTCCTCTACTCAAACCCAATGCCTATACATACTTTTTTTTTTTTTTTGGAATACAATTCAGTTCTACATATCAGCCACGGATTCCCTTGTTCTCCCCCCTCCCGCCTATACATACTTCTAATCACTACAATCAATGTAATTTCTGAAGCATTCCATGTCCCAGAGAAACCCCACATGAATCTGAACAATTTTAATGATCAATGCCAAGGTGATTACTTAAACCACTCTCTACTTCTCTATTACCACCTGCTAGGTTGTCATACCTATATTCATCGTCTCTTATTTATCTGTGTACCCTTTCAGGAGCTCTTCCAGCAAACACTCTTGAGTAGGAGACACATAAGATCTTGGATCCTTTTGTAGCTCCTAGTGTTTTCATCATTGAACTAGGAGCTAGAAATGGTTCCTATAAAAACTTCTTAACTATTAAAACAAAACAAAACAAAACAAAAACAACAACCAAGACACCTTCTGTTTAGATTAACTGTATTCTTAGGTCCACTAAAAAAAGCAAGTTACTATAACTAAGTATTTTAGTGACTGTGTTTTGTGTTTAATGTAGTGTAGTTTACTTGTGTTTATGAGGGCCTTCAGGATAAAACATATTTCAGAGGAAAAATATACTTTTATTCACTCATAGTTAAAAGATCCTTTACTTAGTTATTAATATGTACTTCATGCAAAGTTAGGTATGTAAGGGCCATTATATATTTATTCTGTTTTCAAAGAGCTTAGAGAAAACATGTAAAATGCATTTACCTTAAGTTTCTAAGTATGATCAAGCTTGACTATAGCTCTACCACTTTTGAGGCAGACACAGGATTGCCACAAATTTTAGGCCAGCCTAGTCTACATAGCAAATTCTAAGGCAGCCTGGGATATATTATGAGACCCTGCCTTAAAAAAAAAATTAGTAGGCTCAAGAAGTTACAAATAAAGGGTTTTTGAGATGATCTGACAAGTAAAGGTGCTTGGGGTTCAATCCTTAGAGCCCACATAAAAGGTGGAAGGAGAGAACTGACTCCCAAAAATTGTCTTCTGAACTCCACATGCATACTGTGGGCCTCTGTAATGATAAAATTAAAACGAACATACTATCACCCTTCAAAGTAGGTAAAGTCAGAGATAGTGTAAAAGGACTATAGTCCCAGCTACTCAAGTGGCTGAGGTAGAACTGCTTGAGCCCAAGAGCTGAAGGCTAGCCTAGGCCTGAACAACACTATGGATTCCATTTCCCAGAAAACAAAACAAAAGACCACCACTATTTAAGTGTTTCTTGTATACCCGGCTCTAGATGGTGTGCTTGATGTGAAAAGTTAAGATGTCTATAAATCCTAGCATTACTGTTATTATCATCACCCTGTACTGAAGGTGAAGACTGATGTATAGAAAGAGCACCTGGTCCATGTTTCCCTACCCTGTATGGTGCTGAAGATCAAATTTGGGTCCTTGTATACCCTAGACAAGAATTTTTGCCAACCAGAGCTTCCATCTCTAGTCATCCTGTCTACACTCTTAATAAAAGCATTCTAAACTATAGCTTCATGGCTTGGCGGAAACTGTGACAATCATAATATGCACTGAAGGCAAAGTTTGGATCATGATCAGAGATGTGCTTAGGAAGATTATTCTGGTGACAATGGTATGGAACTAGAACTGTGAAACCACTGGAGTTAACAGAGTAGCCAATACAAAGAGATATGAGGCACTGATTATGTTTAAATGAGTATTTTATTTTTCTGTTTCTCAGGCTTTTCATTTCCTTACAATGAAAGCGTACTTTTCCAATCGGTCTATATAGCATGTGCTGTTTTTATCCTTTTAAACATGCTTAGGTACAAAAAAACAAATAAACATGTAATTCAAGATTAATCTGCACCATAACTTTTAAACACTTCTAAAGACTTCAAAACCAATCTCTAAGAACTCTGTACTGAGAGTTCAACAATGCAACTACTAAAGACATTTTGTGGTAAAGATCACTGTAGGAAAATTGGGGGAATGGCTATACAAATGAGTAAATGCGGTGTCTTTTTAATGATATTCACTGAACACTTAGGATGCTGTACTCAACATACAGACTTAATGACTTCTGGAACTCATAGGTCAGTAGTCTTTGCCATCTGTTTTCATATTTCTTTTTGTATACAAGTGTCAAATTTTATGTTTACTGCACGCACACACACACACACACACACACACACACACACACACACACACACACACACTTTTAAAAACCTTGACTCAATACTTCCTAAGATTATGTAAACAAACATTCAGGCATTTAACCCACAAATTTCTCTGATACTGAATAAAATTTTCTAAGTCTTGTTCTTTGGGGTTAGTGTGGGGTTTTTGAAATAGGGTCTTACTTTGAACTGACCTTGAACTGGCCATGTAGTTCAGGCTGGCTTCAAATAAGTATCCTTCTCCTGTCTTCAAAAGCTGGGAATATAGGCATGTGCTACCATGTCTGACTTATGAATATCTTTTAAAATTAAAAATGGGTATGTGACAATATTGCCAAAATTTAACCTGTGCTAAGTATCTTCCTTAATTGCAATTATAAGTATACTCTTAATGATGAAAAATGCTGGTCTCTACTTATTTCTGTACTTCTTGTTAGGACAAATATAGGGCTTCTGTTGTCTTTTTTTTTTTTTTTTTTAAGGATGACTGTGGGGCTGGGAGATATGGAAGCTTGAGAAGAAGAATTTGAATCCCCAATACTAATAATGAAAAGCCAGATACAGTTGCACTCTTGCCTGTAACCTCAGTGCCAGAGGTGGAAGTTTACCAGGCTACTGGGGCTTGCTGGCCACCAGCCTAGCTGCAGGTTCAGTGAGACAATGATTCAAAGGAACAGTGTGAAGAGCTAGAGCAGAACACCTGACTGCCTCCTCTGATCTTTATGCATGAACATCCACATATGCTTACTATCTTTGTATTTATTCTTGTGTAAATTACCTGCCCATGCTCAGCTTACACTGTATCAGTATGTGAGTCTTTCTGTTTTATAAGAGTTCTATAAATAGAGATGCCGACTGTCAAAAATGTTACAAATACACTTTTTCAGTTTGTTTTTAAGATGTATTTACTGGGGCTGAAGAGATGATAGTGGTTAAGAGCACTGGCTACTCTTGCAGAGGAACCAGGTTCTCTTGCCAGTACCCACATGTTACTCATAGCCATCTGTAACTCCAGTTTCAGGGGATCTAATGTTCACTTCTGAACTCCATGGGCACCAAGCACACATGTGGTCTATGTACATAAAATGTATAGGCAAACCACTCATATACAAAAAAATAAATCTAAAAGAGGATCCCCCCCACCCCCCCACCCCCCACCCCCCCCCCGGTTTCTCTGTATAGCTTTGCGCCTTTTCCTGGAACTCACTATGTAGCCCAGGCTGGCTTTGAACTCACAGAGATCCGCCTGCCTCTGCCTCCCGAGTGCTGGGATGTGTGTGCCACCACCACCTGGCTCTAAAAAAGTTTTTGTCTTTGTTACAATGCTAGTATTATTATATTAATTAATATATTAATTAATTAATATATTATATTAGCTAGTATCTGTCATTTATCTTCTGCCTGTTACAATTACGTCTTTGTAATTCTATCCCTGAACTTAAAAAATGCCACTTATTGACCTATTACCTTTAGGTTTAATTATTAATTCCTATTTGGTTTTAAAAAACACTTCATTTCATGTGCATGTGTAAATGTATATGGATGCATGCATGCTATGTTGTGCATGTGGAAGTCAAAGGACAACTTGGGGAGTCGATTCTCTTCTTCACCATGTGGGTCTCCGAGATTGAGTCCAAGTTGTCAGGCTTGGCAACAAGTCCCTTCCCCGCTTTTTGTTTTGGAAGGTCTCACAATATACAGCCTAGCAGTCTGTAACTGAATGTTTATGTGTTTGAGAGCAGGTCTCTAACTGTGGCCCAGCATGTAGTCCAGGCAAAGGATGGAAATCACTGCTGGCAATTTTCCTGCCACAGTCTGGAAAGTGTGAAGTACCATTCTATCTTGTTTTGAGGGTTCAACTGCGGGACACCCACACATGCTGGGTAAGCACTCTACCGTTTAGCTATATCCCTGCTCTAATTCCTACTTAAGAGAAAAAAAAAGTGCACATTTGTACTACACATTGTGGAGGTCAGAAGTAACTTTTGGGAGTTTGCTCTCTTTCAAACCTTGTTGAAGCAGGACCTCTAAAGCACAGAATACTATCTTATGCTCTTCTGGCCTGTCCCACAACTTCATCTCACCAAAATAGTGCTGGGATTACAGTAGCACCCCATGCATCCTGCTTTTTACATGGTTCTGGAATCTGAGTTCAGGTCTTCAGGATTGTGCAGCAGGCTTGACATCCTAAATTATACTTAATTTCTTAAGGAAGAAGTACTTATAATTAAGTTTAAGGAGTTGATTCCTACACCACCTTTCTTACAGGCAAATGCCTACTACCATTTTTTCTTCTTTGCACATCTTCTGTAATTGAAAGACAACTATAATCTTCCTTCACTGAATTAAAAAAAAACCAGTTATTTCCATTAGACTATTATTTATTACACATACTTTTGGTCCTTGAATATTTCTGGCAAGTACTTTACTGCTAAGCTACAATGTTCTCCTAGCTTGTTTCTATAGGTTTTTAAATATACTGGTCTTGGTTCTGAAAGTTATTCTATTTCCTGTACAACATACAACCACCCCCCACCCCACCCCCCCCACACCCCCCCGCTTTGAGACAGGGCCTTACAATGTTGTCTAGGTTGGTCTCAAACTTAGGGTTTTATTTTCTCAACCTCTCCAGGGATTCTAGGCACATACCACATCTAGCAATACTGATATTTTTGGAAATACCAACAT